TACTATTAAATTACCCGGTTATCCGGGTAATTTATTATGACCATATAATAGAAATGTCTACCCGGGTACAATCTCTACATTCGATTATGCCCCGATGCTAATTTCTCACCACGACTCCGATCGATCATATGATCGATCACATGAGTTGTTTGATTCATATTTTTGTTTAACCTTTACAATCGTTGACACACTTAACATTTCTTTATCTATTTGCATACCTCTCACTAGGTATAAGGGCTCTTCGAAAGCTATGCAACATTTTAGACAATAGAATCTTCCGGATTTGTTTTCAAAATTTTATATCTAGTCAAATCCAAATTTGGCGTATCTTGTTATATCTAGCTAAATTTGGCGCACCTTGAATATATATAGCTGAATTTGGCGCACCTTGATGAGAAGTGACTTGGAGCACCATAATAAGTTTGCTGCTTACATTTTTCTTTTTTATATTTGAATTTTACAATGCCTAAAAATAAAAAAACAAAAACTTATTAAAAACCTACTGATGAACAATTATCATATTTGCATGACAAATCTAAAGTTTTAAATATTCATAAGTCAATAAAAAATTGCATAGATAAATTTCAACAATATTATACTGATGTTGATTCTAAAAATATACCAGAAGATATAGATAATATTTGAGAACTTGAAGTGAATTTTTGGCTGTTGCCAAAAAAAGGCAATGGATTATTATATTCTGTTAATTCACTTTTAGCTGCTATTCGAGCAATTAACAGATTTTATAATTCAAATGTTAGCAAGATAAAACCTGTTGACTTATATGATCGTCAAGCATTTCCTGATCTTTGGGATATATTAGATGAAAAAACTAAAGACCTAGCTGAAAAAGAATATGGTAAAATACAAAAATCAGATTCGCTTTCATTTGAAGAAATTCAATCTATACTACAGCATGAAGTGACATCTAGAGATACTCTTAAAGGATTATTATATTGTGTTTTTTTATATAATGCAATTTTTCTAGCTTTAAAGGGTGGCAAGCATTATATATTAATGTTAAAAAATTTTTAAAAAAGAAAAAATAGAGGTTTCAATGTTTATATTTATAAGTCTAAAACTAATTAATGTGGGCTAAATAACCTTGATGCTGCTGATAAAATTTCTATTTCTGCTGATAATTCTATAATTATTAAAGATTATGAAAGTACTTTTTAAAAAGACCTGTTAACGCTGATCCTGGATTTTATTTACATCTGATTGATATAAAATCTGCACCTAGTACTTTAAGAATTTTAATTTATTTTATCAGCTAATATATTATATTCTACTTATATATAGATTATTCAGCTGTTAATATTTGGTACCAAACAAAACGACTTGAAGAACGTAAAATAAATTCATTTATGTGAATATTGGCTAAAAAAACTAGAATCAATTGTGAAGGTTGCAAGATCACTAATTAAGCAAGTTGGAAAACTCTTGTGTAATATTTAAAAGATCTGGGTATTTCTGATTATGAAGTTTTGACTATTACAAATCATCGATCTTTATCAAGTTTAGCTCATTATGAATGGCCAAAGGATGGTGTTCAGAAGGCTACACTAAATAGTTTAATAACAATTTTAGAAACTTCTGAACCATTATTAGATATCCAAAATCATCAGCCTAATATACTTCCTACTACTGACTCATATAATAAATTCAGATCTGCAAAACAAATTTATCAAGATAAAGTATCTTATTATCAATTTTTTTTTTATTATGATTTATTAAATTTTTTTTTAAAAAATTAAAGCGGATCTTGTATTAAAATTGCAAACAACTTCACTACAAGCAAAATTATCAAAACTACAAACAACTCTACCACAAGTGAATATGTTATCAAGATTATCTTTGCACCAATTACCATTAGTTTTGAATAAAGGCTTAGAAATTCAAAAAATTCAAGCGATGCAAAAAGAATTTCAAAAACTTCAAACAACTCAAAAAGAATTTTAAGAAATTCAAACAACTCAAAAGGAAATTTAAGAAATTCAAGCAACACAAAAAGAATTTCAAGAAATTCATGCAACCTAAAAAGAATTTCTTCAAAGAAATTTATTTATAAATTCAAGCATTACATTTTATATACATAATCACTATTATAAATAGCCTTTATTAAATCGTAAAATCTGATCCGTTGGGCAATATAATCTCAAATTTTAATATGAATATAATATAAATACTACTACGAATGAAAAAAAGCTGCCAAGAATATTTTAAAGGGCATTGCAATATTGGATAGTATTATCAAAATGAAATTGAAAAATATGCAATAATTTAATGCTTGTATGCTTTTTAAAAAGAAATAAATAAGTAATTTTAGCTTCAATTTGTATATATAAATATTTATAATAAGTATATATCAAAATGATATAAACTGCCTAAATATGAAAATTT